CCCACCAGAAAATGGAATGGATGGGCAGGGGGGGAGGCCTAGGGTGGCTGGTCTGATGGGATGTCTTGGGGGGGGGGTTGCCCGAGATGGGCATGGTCCTGTGGCTTGAACGATTGAACGAAGCCGTGCTGCCGCCAAGAAACACGAGTTACTGGACCAGGACACCAATCTTTCCAAGCCATGCTTTCAGCCCGCTTGTTTCATCATCGCTTCCATCATCATGTCAGTGCCCAACACCTGACGTAGCCGATAGGCCCCATGGCCTAATCTTTGCCTTTTGGTGCTTCAGCAGGCATCATCACTGGCGAGGCGCCATCTCTGCCCCGGGCTCTATCAAGTCGATCCAAATCACCCAACCTGCCTTACTGTCATTCCTCGTTCAGAGGCATACCAAAAAAGGATCCAACAACGCCGGAAGCAGGCGGCAAGTCATATGCTACGCCGCACAGGGCCATCCGTGACCAAGCGAGCCATGAAAAGGCGCACCTTTTCGCTCGTCCTTTTTACCTGCTGTTCGCCGCGGCCATCGGCTCGCACCCCACCTTGGGCTGTCTTGGTTGGAGGGGTTTTCTCCTTTTCTCCATCATGACGTAGCGAGCAGCGTCATTCCTGCAGATTCAGGGTCCCCCGTCATTTTACCTGCATGATCCGCTTCGCCCGCTCTCATGTCGACCAGTCTCTGTGCTGCGTGCTGTGCAGAGAGAGAGAGAGTGCAGAGTGAGTGAGTGAGGACGAGGGGATCCCGTCTCTTGTCGTCGTATTCCGGCCCATCCAGTCCCGCCAACGCAAAGCCAAGGACATACCCGGAGCAACGAGCGGATGCACTGCACTTTCTTTCTTTGGCTCTACGATCGCAAAAACAAAAACAGACTGACTGACGCCTGGCTGCACCGATCTGTAACATGGGCAGAAGGGGGGAGGGGCCGACCGCTCCGACAGACGCCACATACCGCACCTCGCGTCCCCGTCGCGCGTGCGCCTTGGCCTCGTCGCTCCGAGGCTGAGCGTCAAGTGACCTCATCCCCCTCTCGCTGACGAATCCGTTCATCGTTGTTGGGGGCCAGTCTTATCTCTCTCTGTGTCCTCGCAGCCCAGCAAGTAGGTTCCGCGGACGACAGGGACGGATCATCACATCGACCGACCATCGACAATCGCTGACAAGCCTAGCCACGTGCGAAACATCGGCCTCCCACTTTATCTCTCCTTTCTGACAGCTCCTCGAACGCAGCGTTCTAGGCCCGGCCAGCGCTGGCCAGCCCCGACCCCGTCCGACGCCTGCACCGTGAAGCCGCATTGGCGCTAGCCTGTGTTCGCTTCGTAGAGCTGTCTCCATCGACGGTCGGTTCTGGTAGTCGGTGTTGCATCCCGTCATTGCATTTTCTCGTGAACTGAACAGCTCAGCGGGCGCGATGGACGCGTCCTACATCCAGTTGCCTCCATCCAGTGCCGCCCCGGTTCCTCTTGGGCCCCCCCAGTCTTGGCCACCCAGATGCATGTCTCTGATTTGCGTGCGCTGGGTTGTCCTGGGTGCTGAGGGCCCGCTACAGTGGGCCGTGGGCCCTCCCCAAAATCCCAATTCCACCCCCAACAATTCCGCGCCGAGATCACGGTTCACCCACGCCGGGTGACCTGCCGAAACCCACCCTCTCCAGACTTTGAATCGCAGTATTACCTACCTACGTGGGACGAGAGGCTCCTTGTCTGTTTTTTTTTTCTGTTCGAGTCAGTTCCTTACTGCTTTAGGAAACCCTTCGTTGCCAACGACAACTGGCACAGTCCACAGTCCCTGGCGGCTGCAGTGTCCACAATCTTGAATCTCGAAGAGGCGCGCGCGGTGAAGGCAGATGTGGGCACATGGTCTGACACAGATTCAGTCCAGCAGATGATTGACAGGCCAGCATGCGTGGAGTCCGGCTGCATCATCTGCCAAACCATTGAAACATGCATCTCCCTCTCCTGCACGAGGAAACACGCGCCGCTGGTCACTTGTCACGGTAGCTTGGCAAGCTTGGGTGAACACCTTAACACCTTACCTTGCTGTAGAAACTTTCTTGTCGAAAACGCGCCCTCACCCCTGACCCCTGACGCTACTATCCATCCCTTCGTCACATGACGTCACGCATAATCTCGTCATTATCGAAAATAAACCAGAACGCTTCGTCGCGCGCGCGCTTGAACGCCACGTTGTTGCATTGCGAGCGCCACATTGGCCATTGCTTCAAGGCAAGTCCTGGTCTTTGAACATTTTTGATGGATTCTTCGGCTTTGTGTAGAGAGAACACGGCGGGCTTCGAGTCGTGACCATCCTGCCCGCGTCCTGGTGCCTGGTGATGGATGCTACTCCTGATGAAAACCATGCCAAAATAGACATCTAAATGCGTCAATGGTCTATCTCACGTAGTCGTTTAGTCTCACGTGATTATAATACTCGAAGCTTTTTTTGGGGGGACCTACATCGGTGACTGCATGTCGGGAGTCATACATTATAATGGACCAAGTCACGCCCGCTGCTCCCACATGCCTTTATCGCAAACCATAGTCGATCCAGCCCTCGGCATCCCGCCGTGGTGCCGGCTAGGAATGTGGGGAAGACAGAGGTGACGAGGAAGATGAATCAGGCGTATTGCTCACTTGAACTCGACAAGAGTCGATGTACTGATTGAGCATCGAAGTCGTGGCGCGAACGCCACGTGTGTCTGCAGATACAGTGTCAACCATGTCCTGGCCGCCTGTTTCGAAAGCTGTAGTTTCAATATTGCCGTAGTCTTTCGGTCACAGGAGATGTAGTATTGACTATGCCGGATTCGTTTGTCATAGGAATGTAAAGGTCGA